AGTAGCCTCCGCCTAAGATCCTGGTGCTTTGGGAGAAAGGAAAATGCAGGATCTTAGGCGAACAGGTTCTTAGCCAATGCACCATGAAGGGAAGAATCTACAGTGGCCCATGTTAATGTCCACTACCCAGAAATAATTATTGGTCTTCCTTTACCCTAAATCATGATGAACTGGTGTGATCCCTGGGGGTGAGTTTATGACATGTATGGCGAGCAAAGGGGTCAACCTTGACGACCATTCACAGTGGCACGAGGCATGCCATCTTCACTTATTGTACTATCGTGAATCTTAATTAAGATCTAAACTTATCCAATTGCCCCTTCCTTTTACCAGTTCAACATTTAAGCGTTTGATCTCTTATTTAGTTCCCCCGCCTTTGTACGCACCATTACGTTGTGACCACACCTATTAAAATTCAATCAGTCTCGCAAATTCGGGAATAGAGACAACTGTTACAATGGTCAGAGAAGAGTTCGATGTGATCCCGCCTGGAGCGAACTTGTAGGCCCTAAGCCAACTCAGCATGTGATGTAAGTTTAGTGGAAAGCTCAGATGCGAATGCAATGTTTAGGGAAAACAAATGCGTCAGTTAGTTCACCTCTTCGTGGAATCCTGTCCTGGGCAAACATTTTACCACTTCGTTGAGTTTTATAATGCATGTGATCACATTCACGAGAGTGACTGATCTTTGACGTGCCGGGTAGTTCAATGATCTCAACTTTTCACTCTTGGTTGATCAGCTGTGCCGCCCGGGTTTTCTGTTCTGTAATATATTATATGGAATGCGGGATCTTAGCCAAATTCTGACCTTCACAGTGAATTGGAGCGGGATCTTAGGGGTCACCTTAGTATAGTAAAAGTTCTGTTTTCTTAAGGGGTGGGGGCGGCGTTGAGGTGACGATCAGGATAATCCTGCTTTTGGGATAGGTAAAACGTGTAGGTTTGTAATTGTGTGTAGTATTTCAGAAGCTTTACTTTAACTCGATGAATCCGATAGGCAGTATGCAGTGGGTAGGCCAATTCCTCACTGCAACTCACCCTAACCAGGAAGTTTCGGTCCACGCTGTACATACGTCGTCTGGTGCGTTCAAGCTTTGCACGCACGCGCGGGTCGGTCTTGACCTTGTGCCTCGAGGGTTGAGGTCCTATTTGAGTCAGGAATTCTCCGAACTCTGCGTCATCGTGGAACCTCGGATAACACAAGCACACAGTTTTTTGTTTTAATGGGGGGGGGAGGGATGTGATCGACATTTTGGCTGCTGATTGATGTAGATAGTGGAGTCGTCTCTAACAAAAATTTGAGAGACTGTCGGATTTTCTTCGTTTCAACCGGGTTTTCGTAATAGAGAGGTTGCCCGAATTGAAGAAAAGGAGACACCAGTTTGGTTTTGTTGTTGTTGTTTTGTTGTTGTTTTTTTTGTCTCTGTTTACCGTTGTTTTCAAATTAAACGTGTTCGGTTTAAGAGGACGCTACTGTGTTCGGTGTACCAAAATTGATGAATTTAAAAACTGTAGAGAAAAGTGGAGATGGATCAGTCTCCAGCATCACAAAGCAAGCCCTAATTCTCAGGGAAAGAGTAGTATAATACTCGTAGACATTGTGCAGCATAACTAGCAGACGCTTTGGACTGAACAGCACCCGCAATAGTCCTTTAGTGGATGATTGATGGTTAAATAGTTATAGAGTATAATTTGCGGGGTATTTTTTAAGAGAGAAAGGTGAGTGATAGTAGCTGAACACAGTCAACGGGTATAAAAACGTCATGGCACCATACTTGAAGACAAACATGACGGATGTTTGATGAGTAATGCATATATATTATGATTGTTAGGTATGTATTTAATTCAGTGTTTACGGTCACTAGCCTACATCACATAAAGCATAATAACGCGTTTTACAGGAAAGGCTTCAGAGAAACAGCATTAAAAAAATGACACACATGATATACCAATATCAGTATTTTCTAAAAACGCTTTCTGTTGATGTTTAACCAAATTTCCATAATAAAACAGTATAGGTAATTAATTGTAATATACCTTTTTTCATGGGTTAAACATTGTAGATTTCTATCACTGGTTTGAGTTAGGACGAGGGGAATGGATACTTTCCGTTGATATGCAAAGCTTGACCATTAAAAGATAAAGTGACATTGATCTTCAATTTCATGAGAGTTACACCTCTCACATGGTTGAATGTATTCATTTCCATCGATAAATATATTATTCAAGGGCAGGCTGTGAGTTTGTAACAAGACTATACTTTAGGTTTTTAAGAAGCTTAAGCAGGAATACACACGTGTGCACCAGCGCCTGTGGTGTGGCAAGCAGTTAAGTGTTAGGAACTTCGCTGGCTCACCCAGGAGACCTATGTTCGATTTCAGACTGGGTAAAAAATTTTATCGAGTATATTGGTCTTTCTGCTGGGATGCTGGTGTATCCATTTCAACCCAGGTTGGCTCTTACAGTCAGGGTTGAAGCCTGTCTCTTAATCAAATTATCTAAATTTTGTTGAGAGGATGAAAATG